GTCATAGCTTTTGCCATTTTATTCTGTGCCTCCCCAGGACAAGCAGCAGGTGGCTGACCAGAAGAAGGCCAAGTTCCACCAGGCCGAGGGAGCCCACCTTGCCCTGCTGGCTGTCTATAACTCCTGGATGGAAGAACAAGATCACCGACCATTGGTGCTTTGAGAACTTTATCCAGGCCCGCTCCTTGCGCAGAGCACAGCATTTACGCAAAAAGATGCTGGGCATCATGGACAACTAGGACACTCATCATAAGCATTTCTAATTCATTCTATATGCGGTAATGTTCTCAACTGGTAGCATTACTTGTGCGTTGTATTAATCCTGTGACTCAACATTTTTTTTTACTTTTACCCCTTTTTCGTGATATCCAATTGGTAGTCACAGTCTTGTCCCATCGTGGCAACTCCCGTATGGACTCGGGAGAGGCGAAGGTCGAGAGCCATGCGTCCTCCAAAACACGACCCTGCCAAGCCGCACTGCTTCTTGACACACTGCTCTCTTAACCCGGAAGCCAGCCACACCAATGTGTCGGACGAAACACTGTACAACTGGCAACTGAAGTCAGCTTGCAGGCGCCCGGCCTCCCACAAGGAGTCGCTAGATCGTGATGGATCAAGGACATCCCAGCTGGCCAAACCCTCCCCTAACCCGGACGATGTTGGACCAATTGTGCGCCGCCTCATGGGTCTCCCGGTCACAGCCGGCTGTTACACAGCCTGGGATCGAACCCGGGTCTGTAGTGATGCCTCTAGATTAGATGCATTAGATGCATTAGACTGCTGCGCCACTCGGGAGGCCCAAAAGACACAATCTCTGTGGCCTAAATTTAACCGCATCTACTTCCCATTTATGGATTTCATAGAAAATCTATATGCCTACTTGTATCAATATTTTGGACATAGGGTGAATTATTGGAGTGTTACTTTGACCTGTTTTCAGGCATAAACTGGACATGGTGCTTCGTGGAAAGGCCACAGTGTGCATACAAAAGGTAATCTGCAGTGGTTTCTTCCAGAACCCAGCCAAAGAGGATCACTAGGAAGGCTATCGTACCATCATTGACCAGCAGGTAGTGTATGTTCACCCCTCCAGTTCTCTGTTCAACCACCAGCCTGAGTTGTGAGTCTATAACCATGGGGGCTATAAGCATAGTCACGAGCCACTGTCATCAATTGTTACTGGGGCTAGTAAAAAAATAAATATGTTTTGACATCTTTGCCTCTATGTAGTAGAATCCTTGTATATACCATACATATCTTGAAAGGCACGAGTGTTCCGTGTTGGACACCCATTTTTGGAAGTAAAGAGTATAAGTGTGTAGATTGTGCTACCTTTTTAATATGTATAATCAGGGAATAAAGCTCCAGAAAGATTAAAAACATACTCTTCTATACCCTAATTTCCCCCACTCACCTTATCACCAGGTTGGTAAATGAGTTGGTGCTGACTATGAAGGAGTACATGCGGGAGGTGAACACCATTGACCCACGCTGGCTGTTGGAGGCCATCTTCAAAGTGTCCGACCTCACGCGCCTCAGCAAACAGAAGAAGCAGCAGCTCCTCAGCAAACAGAAGAAGCAGCAGCTCCTCAAGCCCCTCTATAACCGCTACGAAGAGCATATAGAGAATCTCCCGCACCTTCCGCAGGAAGTAGATGGAGATCCCTTTGCCCTTACACGCAGGTTCAGACCACAGCAAGAGAGAGAAGGAGACCGTCATTAACTGGTTGATAAATACCAGGCCATGGTTCCTCTCTGTGTTCCTACAGTCATTTGTTTTCATGGTGCAATGTCAGTTAACTTACCCCTCTCAGACAGAAATCAAAACTGATATGACCCAAAAGCTAGTTTTACTTAAGATGTCCAATGTATAAATTACCTCAAAACTGAACCTCAGGGATTCCCTTAAAGAAAATAACTATTAAGTGAATAGGAAGGAGACTGCGCAGTAATCTGATCAGCCCGTGGAAGTCTGTCTGTTTTTGAGGACACAATGCTCAAAGTTCGATTAGTCTAGTGATCTCATGTAAATAGTTTATATCAAGGGAAATGGATGGGACTTTGATTGTAGGTCAGCAATTGCCAGATCTGTCGTTTCATTAAGATGACGGAAATGTAATCAGACTGAAATTATGAGTGATTCCTTTAACCAGTGAAATTCTAGCTTTTTCTAAATGATATAAGCCTCATAAAATATTGGATGGTCTCATGTCTGTTTTTTTGTTGTTGTTGCTGTTATGTTATAATTAAACTGTCTTGATCCGGCAATTACAGAAATGGAAAGTATAGAACAGACCAGTTACTGGTTTGAGTCCCCGAGCCGACTAGGTGAAAAATCTTTCGATGTGCCCTTGAGCAAGGCACGTAACCCTAATTCTCCCTCCATATTTATTCATCTGGCAAATAAACATGCCCCTTTTAAACAATTCAGAGTCAAAGATAGATCTAACCCTTGGTTTTCTTCGGAGCTATCTGAGCTCATTCAGATGAGAAATCAGGCCTGGGTCAAAGCATGGAAAACTGACTCTGTAGTGGACTGGCAATTTTTCAACTGAGAAACAGATGTACTATCTCGATTAAGAAAGCTAAATCAAGGTACTTTTTAAGCTCTATCTCTGACTCTGCTGGTGAGAAAATCGACTGCTCTTCCCTCTGCCAGCCTCTTGCTGACTCGACGGTTAACCCATCAACTTCTAGTGAATCTTTGTTTTCATTTCAACAATTTACTGTCTGTGATGTGCTAGATGCCTTGCTTAAAATTGGTGTGAAAAAAATCCACTGTGGCTGAAATGCTTGATCCATTTTTGCTGCAGCTCTCTGCCCCCCTAATTGCTGAATCGATTAACCAATATTTTTTACCTGATGATTATATCTGGTACAGTCCCCAAGGTTTGGAAGGCAGCCCATGTACTCCCCCTTCACAAAGGTGGTGACCCTTGTGACCTAAATAATGATCATCCTATTTCTAAACTTTCTTGCCTAGCTAAAATATTAGAATCCTTGATTCATTCTCAGCTAAGATATTTCTTATCTTTGAAATGTATTCTAAATCTACATCAATTGGGTTTTATACCACGTCATAGCACTATCTCTGCTGAATCCCTAGTTATAAATGATGTGGTTAACTGTATGGATAAAAGGCAACATTGTGCTGCCCTCTTCATTGACCTGTCAAAGGCCTTCGATACTGTTGATCACTTACTGCTAATTCAAAGGCTTTCCTCAACTGGCCTAGACCAGGCTGCATGTAACTAGTTAAAAAATTAATTGACAGATAGAACTCAATGTGTATCTACAGGAAGTGTTGAATCAGGTTTCCTGGATATTACGAATGGTCTCACGCAGGGGTCGATTCTGGGTCCTGTACTTTTTACTGTTTACGTTAACAATATCGACAATATCGACAATATGCCGATCATACTGTTGTGTATGCTATTGCCCCCATGGTTGACCAGGCTCTATCTGAACTACAGTCTGCCTTCATTGTATTACAGAAAAACGTTATTGACCTGAAATTAGTATTGAATGCAGGTAAAACTAAATATATATTGTTCTCTAGAGTGCATAAAAATAACTCTGATGATTTACTTTGAATGCTTTCCATATTTATCGTGTCCCTGCTTACAAATATCTGGGCATCTGGATAGATGAAAAGCTGTCTTTTAAAAAGCATACTGATGAGTTAGTTAAGAAGCTGAGAATAAAAATGGACTTCTATAGAAATAGGTCCTGCCTCTCGCTAAATAGTAGAAAGCTAATTATTCGGTCGACAGTTCTAGACTATGGCAACATCATCTATAATGCCACTTCATTAAAGACATTAGATGCAGTTTAGTACTCATTACTGCATTCTCTACCAGAAAGTTGGTTGGCCCACTTTGATGTCACATAGGTTGATACATTGCTTATGTTTTCATTTATAAAGCCCTTTTACAAAAAGTCCCACTGTACCTAACATCATTACTAAACTTTAGACATACAAGATACCACACCCGGTCTCAGGGATGGTTAACTCTGGAAATTCCTTTGGTCTCTACTGAGTTAGGTAAATCAGCTTTTAGTTTTCATGCACCTTATTTTGGAACAATCTTCTAAATGTTCTTAAATGTGATATTTTGGTGCCTCTAGGGAAATTCAGAAAGCTGACTGAGGACCTTATTACTGATGAATGTGTTTGTTTTTAATTACCTGTGTTTTTCTTTCTGCTTGCATTTTCTATTTATATTTTGATCTGTGTATTTTCTGTCATTTCTGTAATTCAGGGCTCATCTGTAAAAGAGACCTTGATCTCAGTATGACTCCCTGATAAAATAAAGCCAAAATAAAAGGTCACTCTGGATAAGAGCGTCTGCTAAATTACTTAAATGTAAAAAAAAATATTTCAACTGATCATTTAATTTATGCATTTTCAGGCGTCCCATTGCAGCTGGAGTGTGCTGTGTGTGCAGATATTAAACGAGGAACAGTCTGACCTTTAAGAACCTTCGTAGTAATCATGTTTCCTAGTTGACATAAGGTGTGACCACTGATAACGTCAGGAAAGGAAATGGCAGGTAGGAAATGCATGTTCTCTTTTGTCATTGACTGTGACTTCAGTTTGGTTAACTGATTTTGATGTTCATGATTTAGAAATTACTCCATACCTTGAGATAACACCCATTCTCTCTCTGTGTAGCCATTCCCAATCTGTCACAATGTTATCAGAGGAATAAAACAACGTCTTGGCACATAGAGTAGTAGTAATATTGTGTCTTTATTAAGCAATCTCTTTAACCACAGTCATGTGTATGGATTGAATATGCCTCAGAAGTGAGAGGAATGCAGCTCTTAAAAACTCAAAAATCCCTAATGAGATTAATTTTAACAAAAACAAAAAAACACCATAGCCTTATATACAAGTGGATGGGGTGGGCATGTGCAATAGGTGCAGGGGGCCGGTGGGTTGGAATAGGTGGGTATTATGGGATATGACAGAGAATCTGGAGGATGGGATGGTGGCATTAGTACATGTAGCCTTTGGAGTAGGACTGGGCGCCCATGTTTGGTGGGGCTTGTTCTTGGGGGTAGGAGGCCCCCTCGTCCATGTGGGACAGGGGCACCGTGTCCTCCTCATTGACGTAGCGCTCAAACTCGGCCTTCATGCTGGGCCGATGATTGTCGGGGAAGGCCAGGGAGATGAGGGCCTCGGGCTCGCACACAAACTTGTAAACGTAGCGCTCCCCTGCCACCTGCAAACAGAGGAAAGAGATTTCTCTGTTAGATATGTTCATTAGTTGGTGTTGTTATACTAATGCAAGTATGGTAAACATCTGAGCAAATAAATCAGATACACACATAAGCCATTTAATATAAAACGTTGCTTCCAAATAAAATGGAAGAGCCAACAAACCGATAGGCAGTCTCACCACTCTCAGAGACACATTTGAACTGCTGAGTAAAGCCTTAGTTTGTACCTTCTGCATAATTCCCTTCTCGTAGTAATAGCGCAGAGAGCGACTGAGCTTGTCGTAGTTCATGGCTGGACGGTTCTTCTGCATGCCCCACAGCCTGGCCACCTGAGAGGAGAGAGGGAACGAGAGAGGAGAGAGGGATAAGAGAAAGAGAGAGGAGAGAGGGGTGGTTATGCATCTGGGACTGTTCAGCTCCAATGGATAGGCCCTCTGCTCTTCACAGGTGAATGAACAACGTTTTTAGCATCTGCCAAAGGACACTCCTATTATATTATTATATAGATTGAGGTTAGATGGAGTGATGACTTTCTCTCTGGAACCAATATGAATGAATTCCAAATAATTTGCCCTAGAGGGAAGAACACTATTTTTCTTGCTTCAGCCTGCAACTTTCTAATGCTACCACTAGGGGTCCTCAGTGACTAGTTGAAATGCTCTTTCTCTCTGAGCTAACTGGCTCATCATGTCAAAAGCAGGGCGAGTCCCCACATGTGGATTCACTTCCTTTTTATGTAACCCGTCACCACTTGAATGCAAACAGAGTCCCACAATGTGTGCAGTGAAATAAGAGGCTGGTGCCTGGTTCTCATTGAGGCAGCATCGTGAAATTTGTCTCAACCTTCCGTTGAACAGCATGTTAATTCCAATACCTATGAAATGTCTCACATCTCCAAACGAGTGTGAAATGAAACCACAGTGTCAGAGCTTTGTGTTGTTGACAAACATTCTGGTCACTAGGAAGAGTTGAGTGTAGAAAAGGCATATTAGACTCCTGACTTGGGGGTTTAGGGAATGCTTGTGTCCCAGAGCAGATTCCTCTCTTTGATCCTGAGTGCACATTCAACCTTAATTGCTCTTTTAAAACACTCGCAGTATTCATTATTTACGTATAGTAGCCAGATAATGGAAGTATCATTGTATCAAAATGTCTTAGAAATAAATGTCTTAGAAATTCAGTTACCTGTTTGAATAAACTTCTAAGTCAACGGCCCTCAACTTTAATAGCATCTCTCAAACAGTCCATTGACTTATAGGTAATGTGATGTAAGGAGTGAATATTAGGTGATGAAGCTCATCCTCCATTTTGTTTGTGTATCTACTGTTACAATTGGTAAATAATGCATGGAGGCTAATGGGCACCTGGCAGTTTAGATCAGTGCATGGCCCAAGAGGGATTGTATAGAAGTAGGGAGGGGAAGGGCGGAGCAATCTCAAACATTGAAACCTTATTGTAGACAATACACAATCAGCATTAAATACCTCTTACGTCTGACTCTGACCCCGCAGCATATAGCAAGCGAACTTAAGCTACTTCTAATGTTTCTTAACAAAGGTCAAAGATCCCAAATGGACTTAACGGAGACGTAACAGAAATGCTGTAGATCTCACTAGACTACACCCTGGTTGTGTTCGGGTTAAGGTTGGGCCTTACCCCCTCTGGCTTGATGAGTTTGAACTCTACTTCTCGCTTTTCTTAACACAGAGCAAAGATCCCAAATGGACTTAGAAGATGCTGTAACTGTAGATCTAGTTACTGTAGGTTGGGCTTTACCTCCTCAGGTTCGATGAGTTTGAACTCCATGCCGCGGCCGGTCCAGGCGATGAAGTGTGCGTTGCCAGGGTCATCCAGCAGGGCCACCAGGAACTGCCAGAGCTGCAGGGATCCCCGGCGCTGGTATGGGGCCCCATCACGGAACACGCTACCCCCCTCCTGTTTCACCTCACCTGGAGAAGAACAGGGATACTGGAGGTTGGACTAGGCTGTAGGCTCAGACTGGTTTGAGGAAGTATGCAGCTACCATTGACTAGGGCTGGTAAAATTACTGTATAATCGTGTAATGGACGATTATAGATGAAGACCGTCATGAAAATAAGATAATCGTCATAATTTTTTTTTTAAAAATCTGTCCATTAGTGCGATTCAGTCCATTTCCGCGGTAACATGGACTTTTTACAACCTGATGAAACTTTGTTGCTCCTTGCTGAAACAAGCAAGGTGTTGTAGCAAACAAATCTTTGATTGCCTAGGCAACGCCCCCCTCCCTGCAGTAGCAGCACATGTAGTCAGGAGTGGAGGAGAGGAGAAAATGTGCGTCTTAATAATAAAAAATAAAACAATTATTTTGCTATTCAAACGATTATAACAGTGACCGCGCGTGGTTATTTGGTTGACCATTAACTGTCATCCAAAATTCCATGACCGTCACAGCCCTACCATTGACATAGGACAGCTAATGACAAGTATGGTAATGTGGCCAAAGTTTGTTCAACGTTACTAATAGGATAAGGATAAGACTGTAATTTTGGTTGAGTCCAATCAATAGCTTTCTTGACAGGCTTAAGATACTGTAGTAACTGCTACATTGTGAGTGACAGTTGATTGGTTAATTATCTTGAGAAGCAGGGAATGATGCCGATATACAGTACTATGAGTGCGGGAACATGGGGACTGTCACTGTAAGTAGCTGTCACTCTAACCCGGTGTGTTTTGCCAGTTCAACCTGTGCAGGAGCCCTCAGGCTCTCCCCTCACATCAATCACCCCAGTGCACCATGGGAAACTGACTGTCACCTTGCTCTCCATGACACAGGAGCCCAGTCCCTACCTCACGCACGGGAAACGAAACCCACTAACTCAGCTCCAACCAGGAGCCTGTTATGCAAAAAATAAACTCTAAAGCTTATTGTTCAGCAATACTATATCTGATACTATTGGCACTGATAGAAGGCTGATACCGATACATGTACTGGGAAAGATTATTGTGAGCAATAGGGATTCGATCCCAAACGGAGAGCCATGTGATGTGATTGAATGGATTCTATGTCTCTCCTATGGAGAACTGACAGTGGACACCCTCAGTGCCATCATCCATAACCATTATTATCTCAGTGACAGCTATTGGAGTGGATTGTGTGCAAGGAGCTGTAAGACTCACCTTCTAATTTCTCTGGAACGACACGGGAGTCGTTTTCAAACAGATAACCTGTAAGAAAAGACAGGGGTTGTTATTAGTGTTTAAAGTGGTCTTGTGTTACTATAGCTTGTTCACTATGCCAAATCTTGAATCACATTTTCACAAAATGAATGAGTATATAAATGGGGAAAAAGTGAACTGTTTATTGGGTGCACTTATCTCTTACACTTCAACAAGAATGTGTAGAGCACTTCGTGAGTAGGGGAGGATTCCTCACACTAAATATCTCAAAAGGACTCCATCTTCCCTCTTTCTTTTGTTTTAATAATACTTTTGATTTTAAGTGTGTAATACTCTAGTGATTCTTAAAGGGGCATCCCAACACTGATATGGTAAAAAGCTGAGGGATGGGTCTGGATATATGTAACCACTCTTAAATGCATAATAATAATAATAATATGCCATTTAGCAGACGCTTTTATCCAAAGCGACTTACAGTCATGCGTGCATACATTTTTGTGTATGGGTGGTCCCGGGGATCAAACCCACTACCTTGGCGTTACAAGCGCCGTGCTCTACCAGCTGAGCTACAGAGGACCACATGCATAGACAGAGCTATGGATACAAGGACTGACCATCCATGATATCAAAATTATAGTTTTGTTTTGAGGCTGTACAGTGTTTGTTTACATTTACATTGTTTACAAACAAAGTGTAGAACAAGTTTATATTTTGGGTTCTGTTGGGGTACGACAGTTAAATTAAGCTCATAAGTTATATTCTTCAAGAATCAATGGGTATATATAATTAATTTAAAAGGCGAAAAATGGATGAAGCAACTGCAGATTCCCCCTTTAATAATACAATCTGTTTTATGATTGGCTATTCAAGAGCAATTCCTGAGTTCTCACTTATTTAGGAAATGATGCTGGACAAGAACTAGAATGACCCAAAATGGTGTGACAAACAAAGGGAGTGAAGAGGAGCATTGTTTTTATTTTCTCAAGGAAAAATACTCTGGCTTTTTCCAGGAGTAATATTTATCAAGGGATTCTTGGGGCAGGGGAGAGGCCAGAGCCTATGCCAATGGAAACATAGACACGCCACCGGTTAGCCAATTTAAATACAGACACTCTGGGCTGGTTAGCCAATGACCGCAAAGCTACAGCCAGTAGCCAGGCCTCATTTCAATTAAGAATAGGGCGATTCGGTACATGTAGTATCCCCATCCCATCTTCAGTGCCATGAACCGTTGGCACAGACTTTTGATAATAAAGCATGCATGTAAAAAAAAACAAAAAACATGATTATGCAGTCATAATGCATTATAACACTTGCCATAAGTGTCTATGTATTATTTATGACGGTCTTATACATGCTTGTAACAAGTAATAATGAATTATATCAGACAAGTTTTTGCTTACCTTCATTGTTGTGCTGGGGGTTGGGGTACCCCTCGTTGTGGTGATACATGGATGGACATCCAGGCACATCTATAGGACAGAAACACAAGCGGACACCTATTGGTCAATGCAGTGCATTTAAACAATCAGTAAAAGCTTTTTCAGTGTACAGATGGGTTTCCTTCCTCAATCTATATATACTAGGCCAATATCCACGGGGAGAGAGAGCATTAATGTGGTCCTGCAAGGACACAACCTTCATTTGTCTTAATATCAATTGTCTCCCAACAGTATTTTTAGGCCATGAGTAAGCTCCTAGTGATGAGCAGCAGTATAGTTTAGTGTAATGGTAGAGAATGTGAGTCTGCATTGTCAGCACTTTGTCCATCCACCTGGACACACCTCTACGTGACTCAACCATCCACACTGCAAATGGATGGGATCTTCATATTTCTATCAATCCCGAATCAAATTCCTAATCAAATGTCCATTTCCTAAAGTTGTATAAATTGAAAACCTCAGATGTTTCTCCCTGTTGCTAAGGGCTGTGGTCCGGTTGGTGACAAACTGCTCTTATCGCCTATATAGTGTACTGTATGTGTGCCTGTGTGAGTGAATGCATGCACATGCGTCAGTGTGCTTGTTTGAGTGGCTGAATGGCAAGAGGAGGCCAGAGTGGGTGAAAGGTGCAGCAGCTCTAGTCTCCTGCCTCTCAGTGGTGTGGTTAGTCTGGTGACTCATTCCTGGGGAGTGCAGTTGCAGTGCTGTGGCTGTGATAAGATGTCACTGGGGAAAATCAGACCCTCCATTCCGGGCTAGCACTCTATCACACTGTAAATAATATCACTGCCAGCCAGGGCAGCCTGCCACTGGGGAGTGATGGGCAGATTTGGGACGAGAGCACCAGGGTCAATTGTGTGCTGGCTGGTGTCGCAAGCTTTTGTAGCCATTATGTGTCTTTCACACAACACAATGACACACATTAGTTTACTAGATGGAAATTTGAATGTGAAAAAGACAACTTTATTCACAAGCCTGAACCACATAACTGCCTATGTGCTAGTGGTGCGCCTATCTATAATTTGGGTCACATTTCTGTGCCAGTAGGCCTATGAGGTCCTTGTGATAGCCTTTCTGAGCAGGCAAAACAGCTGCCAGCTTTTATCTGCGGCACACCTCTCAGGCAGGCCCACCAGCCTCCTCAACTCCTCCTATGACTTTCAAAATACAGAAATACAGCCGGTATGATGCATTTTGCATCATCTGTATTTCTGTATTTTGAAAGTTATATATCTTGAAAACTTGATTGCTGACCTGCACATTTTTTTTGACAATATCAACAATGAACTAATGAAACAAATACCAGAAGATAGTTATTGGGTGGAATTTTCCTTTAAAGGGAACAGCCAGGACCTTGGAACTGTGCTGCTGCTGCTGTGCTGTGGAGGTACGGCTGGTTCTCTGTTGTTGCCAAGGCCCCTGGCTACCCCACCCTCTCCTCCCCCCTGCCCTCACCCCTTCTCTCTCCCTCCACAGTGAGAGGTTCGAGTTACTGTGGCCACGCTCATTTTTCCATTATGAGTTCATCTGCCTGCAGAAAAAGGAGCCGCTGCTGCAACCCGACACCCCAGAGTGCTCCACTGGGGACTCTAGTCTTTCCAGTGCCCTCCATTTTCTCAATGAAATTCCTCTGCCTCCCTTTCAGTGAGACAAGCGCGGAGAGACGGAGCGGGGAGGAGTGTAGAGGAGGAAAGAAACAGTATTACAGTCAAGAGTCAATACCTTTTTTTGCAAAGTGTCAGGGAGTTGAAAGGAGGAGTTTGGAGGTAGGGAGGGGGTAGGGCAAGGTCTCTAGAGGATATTGAACTGTCTGCGTTTGGACATTTTGTTCTAATGTCATCCATACACACCAGGATGACTCAAAGCTACTTTTATTTCAAAGGAACTTTTGTAGGACAGAGAGCAATAGCCACAAAGCAATAGGCACGTAACATGTCAATGTGTAAGTAATTGTATACATCCTACGTCCTACAGAAGTTGAATATGCCTACATGAGTGATATGGGATTAGTTCGGGTATGTTTTGCAGTGTTCCGTGGTTCAGCGTGTTGTGATTTGTTAGGGAGGAAAGACACTCAGTATCTTCCATGAGATATTTGCTTCCCTCCAAAAAACCATGAGCTATTCAGTATAGACTCTTTCTACTAAAGGGAGACTGCCATTCAAAACAGACTCATATTGTATCTCTGTCATTCTTCTCTTGGACCCTCAGTGTTTTAATCACTCACCAGGCTCATAGGTGTAGTCGGTCGGCTCCTGCTTCACCATCATGTGGACAGGGGGGAACCTGTGAGGATGGTGGTGAGAGTGCGGGTGGGGTTGTTGGTGTTGGTGAGGTGGGTGAGGCCCGTGCCCTGATCCATGCCCCGGTCCTGCCATGTGGGCGGCCCTCTCGTAAAGAGGGTCCAGGTACTCTTGCTTGAAGCTCTGCTGCAGGTAGGGTAGACAGTGGTCTGAGTGCTGTCGATGATAGCCACCACCTCCACCTGGTCCTCCACCTCCTCCTCCCCCACCACCGCCTCCGGATGGGGCAGGGTGCATGCGCTGGAACGCCTGCCCTTGAGGGGGGAACCCCTGGGGGCACATGTCTGCTGAGGTGGCCTGATACCTGGAACTAAGAGAAGGGAAAAGAGAGGTTATGAAAAACTATCAGTACCGACTGCACATTATTATGTCATAAAGGCATATTGTTTTTTGGCACAATTTTAAGTATTTCGTACAGTACAGGGGGTAATACCTGGGGTGCATGGGGTAGTTGTTGTGGCTAGGCAGTGGCTGGGAGGCAGCAGGGGAGTTCATGTTGTAGGCCGTGTTGTCAGGCCGTCCATCAGCGCCCCCGGCAGGCTTGGGGGAGTAATGCTGCTGCATGGGAGACATGGGTGTCCCTTGGGGGCAGGAGCTCTTATTGGGTCCTGCAGCCCTCTTCTGCTCGTAGGCACTGGAAACACACACAAACATGGTTTATGAATCCCAATGTGGTGTATGAGTACATGTACTACTCTGGCATCAATAGTAGGCCCTAACATTAGTAATACAGGTCAGTAAGCCAAAGTGGGCTTATGGTGGATGGGTGTTTTGTAGTGACTCACATTGTGTTCAGTAGCTTGTGTTCTGGTCACTCTCTTTGTTGCACTGCCTTATGTATGATAATTGACTGGAATTGGTTGACTAGTGACTTGCTATGGAACATTTACATTTTAGTCATTTAGCAGACGCTCTTATCCAGAGTGACTTACAGTTAGTGAGTGCATACATTTTCATACTGGCCCCCGTGGGAATCGAACCCACAACCCTGGCGTTGCAAGCGCCATGCTCTACCAACTGAGCTACACACCCCCGAACCTCTGAATCCGTAAGACGAGAATGTTTGTAAATGGGCCATAATAAGCTGAATACTGTACTTGTTGACATGTGTACCTGGCATAAAGGCACTGCTCTCCATTGGGGTAGGTGAAGGTCTGCTTGTGGCTACAGGACTGGCTGGGGTCGGACCCAGGGCTCGGTGGTTCCTTCTTGATGGTGACTGGCGGGCTGTGGAATGCCACTGCTGTAGAAGGACAGAGACAGAAGAGCATGTTGGCACATATGGATCGTTCTTTTTACCCTCTATGATGTCATCAAGTTCAAAGGCAAAGCAAATACTCCTGTCCACACAGGAATCCCTAATATGTGCCAGACCGCTTAAGTGACAGTCAATTGAAAACAAGGGAAGCAGACAGACACACATAAACACACATGTGCGTACACACATTCCTGCAGTTCATTTGGAAGCCATTGGTGTCCACGCCCACTTTTTCTCCTCTCCTCCAGACACAACACAACTTTCTATGCACCCAACACAAAGTATACCCCAACCTAAACAACGGCACTGGCCAAGAAACTGTCTTTCGATGAACAAAAGGCCAGGCAGGTCGTTCAAAAGTGACTTCGAAATTGGACGTCCTGAGGACGTGGGAAATGCCTTCAAAACCGGCCACTAGAGGCAACAGCGAGCACTATTACCATCAAGTAGGCTTGGGTTTTGCTAGGGCATTTTGGACGGCAGTGGCGGATGGGCGTCGTCCCATGACTCTATAATCCCATGACTTTGGATCAGAAAGTTGCGTGTTCGATCCCAGTGGTGGACACTCCTTTATATATTAAGTAATTTTTTACCCTATCCCAAACCTTAACTCTTATCTTAACCATTTGGAATGGGTGCCTAAACTTAATGTGACTCTGGATCAGAAGGTTGCGTGTTCTATCCTAATCGAACTCTTAACCTTCTAAATTTGACGTTTGGAGCAACTTCGAAATTTGACGTTTTGAGAAACAGAACTATACTGAGCAGGAGGAGCAACCCAGAGTGTCAAAAACACTTAGACATTTTTACATTGGGAGCAACTTCGAAATTTGACGTTTTGGAAAATCATGGATAAATGTCTAGCTCTGCAGTGAGATTGTGAGAGCTTGTTGCAAAAGGCAATGCAACACTTTGGTCAGTATGATGTTTGAGTGAAACATAATACATTATTTATTTCCTTGGCAAACAATGTTATATTATTTTATTTTATTTTCCAAAGGGAGACGGCCAGAGAACATTTTACGTTTGACCTCACAGGGTCATATTATTTGTTAAGAACAATATTCTGATGATTATTCCCTACTGGAATTTGGCCTCCAGGTACCCTCTCTAAGGCCAGAGGTTACTATAAAGCAGGTCTTAGTAAGTGATATCTGGCCCTTGAGCCATAAAATCAGCCATGGGTGTCCTTACGCAATTAAAATGTTTCAAATGTATAGTCTATTCAACCCCTAGGTCTCAGCCTTGATTTAATGTTTTGACCCAGGGCAGAGAAGGATGAGACAATGAACAGATAAGGAGGAGTATTTAAGTCTGCCCTCCCCACTGGAGGAAGAGAGATTTTCTGCAAACCTCTTAGAGGAACGTGTCTGTCTTCTCATATGCATACGTCTGTCTATGTCTGTCTATTAAACCTTTAAATATAGAAGTTATTCGTCTTATATTTTGCATCTCGCATTTCTCCACACCGTGACCAGTTTCCAATTCCTAACATATTGATATTTCCTGTCTTGGTTTCGTTCTTCATCTGCAAACATTCTGAGCTGTTTACTAGATCCTCCTCCTCCGCACAGCCTATATTCTTACCCCATGTTCAATCCAAACTCTACAGAAGACATCTACTTTCTTTCAAGCTCTTCCCTTGGTGGGGACCTTTGCCTTGAAGGCCACACAAACCACCCAAAGTGGAGCTTCAAACTGCTGAGGCTGTGTTTATTATGTGAGGGGAGATCTGACTGACTGTACAGCACAGGATGTTTTTCTGGGCCTGAGAGGGTAAACAGCAGCAGCTGTGCACTTTCAGCTGGGGACGACTGTGTTTATACGTGTGTGTGTGTGTGTGTGTGTGTGCGTGTGACTGCAGTGGGTGTGGAGTTGACGGAACAGGCCCCACTGAAACCTGAGACCAGGTAATTACATACTGTCTGTATCCCATTCACAAAAAGGGAGGAGAAGAAATGCAGAGACATACTGTAAAAGGCTGCGAAGGGAACGTCTACAGCTAGTCATAGAGAGCAACAGAGAAAGAAAAGAAGGCTAGAGAGGGTAATGGGGGGAGTAAAAAAACCCTGACAGACAATCAGAGGGAAATAAAGACAGAATGAAAGAGACTGAGAAAGAGAGACAGACAGACAGACAGACAGACAGACAGACAGACAGACAGACAGACAGACAGACAGACAGACAGACAGACAGACAGACAGATGCAGTTTGTGGAACAGTTGAAAACTGGGAACCCCCCTATTATTTTAGCCTTTTCTTTCCCATGACACACCTGGGCAGGTGAGGAAGTGTTGGCTTTAGAGTGCGATCAAAAAGGATTAGAAAAGTATTTACCCAGATTTCCCACACAGACACAATAGGATTCCAGCCCTCCAAATCCCTCTGCCCTCTTCCTTTCTCATCATACCCAGGGTGGCACATGACTGAATTTGTTTCCAATATGGCTATGAGAGTGTGGAATGTGTTTGTCCCACATAGTGACCCTCTCACTACACACACTCCATGGTGTGTAATGTGTACACAAGTCCAGTCACTATGCAACCCAAGTGGAGCAGCTAATACGATTGGCAGACATACTTCCTTTTGATGTGGCCCTGCTTCTGTTTAATTTCGAAACACAGCATACTGCTCTGTGAACGGCATCAAGTCAAGAGCATGGGCCGCTGTTTGAGAATGAAGCACAGCACTGTTCAATAGTAAGTGGGTGGAGATTTGTGTGTCAGGATCTACAATATTAATTACTCTTGTATATGAGCGTAGGACGGCTGTGAGTGTGTGTGATTGGTGCTGTTGTCTGGCATGCTTCCCCTATTAGCAGGGGTTGGCGGACATCCCCGTTAACGAAGCCCTAATGAATCAACGGATTTCTCAAGCCCAACATCAAAGGATTTTGGGAGACATTGGATATCCCTTGATCCTAATAGAAATGTCCAAACACTTTGAGCATATGAATTGTTTCAGTTGTATTTGATCAGAGTAAACTATGAAATCAGAAAAATTATGATTTATTTCAATTAGAAAAAGGGATTCTTAAAATGTACAGTTTAAAAAGGGTTTAACAAATAATGGCTTAAAAAATCCTTGAAAAAAGTTACATTATCGAGATAAATCCAAAGTCCAAATGACATCAAATTTGCCCCCAAAGTTTATAAAGTAGTGGCAGTCACATAAACAGAGTTTGGACAGCATGGCTCTTCCCTATTGGTTTTATTTAGGGGCGATTTGACCCCAACTCACAGGCTCTGGTTTCCCTCTCTACAACTCTGTTAGTAGTTACACTTTTCTCCACCAAGATCCTCATATTTCAAGGAGTTTTTTTCTAGTATGGGAAGGGGGTGTTGTGAACTTAAACATAATGTATAATGGTAGAGAGAGAAGTGTTTAGATCTTTCTGGACAGATACTGTACACAATAGGTACACAGTGTTAAGGCAGAGAGAGAGAGAGAGAGTGTCCTCTCCTTTTATTTGGAATGGGTGTTGGGGGGAGCGGAAATGTGAACACATCCTAACCTGGTGTAAAATGATGATCTCAACAAAGTAGAGTTTGTTAACTTTAGAGACGTTTACTGCTGAAATGCTTTTCTTATTCTCCCCACAAAATACATGGAGTATTGAGGGATATAGAGCATGTGGAAAGGCTCCTTCTTGTTATGAAAGTTGAATGTTTTCATCTTGTGTTTGCTCCTCTTTCTGATTCATTTTTTCTCACTCCCATTCTGATCACAGGATGACCCAGGTTGGGGATGGGGATGGAGGGAGGAGCAGGGGGACTTTACATATGTAAATAGTGAAGCTTTGGGGGAGGATGCAGGGTGAAAGATGATTGTCATGGTTGAGTGCTTTAGGAAGTGGGGTGCTATTCAGTCTCACACCCACCACAAACAAATCTCAGGACCTGAGACCCCCACACCTCTATCCTTGTCCACACAAAAGTGTCCTCGGCTGGGACATAAGGTACTAGTGGGAACTCCTCAGGACTAAGGACCACCAGAAGCTTGTCTGGAATGGGACATTCTTCTGCAGCTTAATATATCACGTGCTAAAGAAATACCTTGTCATAGCCATGCTACTACATTGTGTAATGCAAAGAGGAATTCAGGATTCAGAGTGTTGTGACATCAAGAGTCAATAACTCAGCCATCTTTTGACCAATCCCTTGTATCATGGGCCTACATTCCAAATTTGGTTTAATTTGGTCCTATGGTACATGAGAAAAAGCATATTAGCATATTTTAGAATATTAGCGTATGTGCTAATATGCATCTACTGGTATAGTGTGGCCATCTTTGAATCCATCAGCGTTCTTTTCTCAAACTCTTAAGGGAATATTGTGATGAGTCCAAAGACCAGATTTGGAGTGAATCTGACTTTTTAGTACATGAGAAGAAGATTTGTTAAGCGTTACATAGTCATTTACATTTACATTTTAGTCATTTAGCAGACACTCTTATCCAGAGCGACTTACAGTTAGTGAGTGCATACATTATTTTTCATACTGGCCCCCCGTGGGAATCAAACCCACAACCCTGGCGTTGCAAACGCCATGCTCTACCAACTGAGCTACATCCCCATTCAAAAAAGTGAATTGTTAATAGTTTCCTTATTTGTTAAGATATCAATGCTAAACTTAACATGGATCATCGTGGTAATGTCTTTGATGACCCTAAACATTTTCAAGTTGATAGGCCATTGTGAAGTAAGTCGCTCTGGATAAGAGCGTCTGCTAAATGATGTAAATGTAAGTAGATTTACAAAGGATTTAAATTGACACGTAAAATCTGATTTCCTGATTTATCAATAACTCAGACATCTCTTAACCAATCCCTTAGCTTCTCTCAAACTATGTTAAGAGATCCAAAAAAAAATCTGTTTTAAAAAATGTCCAAGATGGAGCAAAATCGCTGTGAACCCCTAAATATGGTATATACCTCTTCTTACTATTCTCTTGTGATCTTCAGTTTGTACAGGATTCCAATTATAGTTTGGTAGCTAATGGCAATTATCAAACGAGTAGCAGCCAGGATTGAATGCCAGGTAGGAAACCCCCTCTGTAATCTCCTCAGTTTATTTTATACAGAGCATTTCCTACCATTAAAGGTTATTCTCTAGTAATCAAACCTGAACTCAGTGATAGAGGATCTGGAGAGCTTTACATTGGAGTGTTTATCTCTGGTATGGGAAGTCTCAGTCTCTGGAAGTCTGCAGGCCATGACAGCTTCTTTTTTTTGTGCCTTATTTTACCAGGTAAGTAGACTGAGAACACATTCTCATGTACATCATCGACCTGGGGAATAGTTACAGGGGAGAGGAATGAGCCAATTGGAAGCTGGGTATGATGGTATGAGGGCCAGTTAACACCCCTACTCTTACGATAAGTGACATAGGATCTTTAGTGACCACAGAGCGTTAGGACACCCATTTAACATCCCATCCGAAAGATGGCACCTTACACAGGGCAATGTCCCCAACCATTCAGTTCCTGGCCCAGCGCTCTAACCACTAGGCTTTTTGCCATAGGTAAACCATGAGAATGAAAGGAGGTGGATAGAAGGAAACATCCATAGTAGCTATAGTCTATTTCAAATATGGGCAACTGTCACATGATTTTTCCTTGAATGTTAGATGATATACAGTTTCCTGTATTAGTACATAAGTTATATAAACTACACATGTACTGTACACCCTAGAACAGCTTTAGTAGAGCCCATGGAGGGTTTCTTGAGAGTCAGAGAGAGAGAGATGGTTCCTCACTGGCAAATTAATGCCAACAATGACAGACAGTTCAATAAAAACAACAGGCATGCCCAATTATGTGGGTCTAAAGATTTCAAAGGAACTTATTGATTTCTGGGACATGCCATATAGCATTCCTCTCTCTGACTCTGTGGCCTGGCTCAACTGTAGAAAGTAGGGGACATGAGGGATAGACAATAGTTTTTTATATGTTATGATAGTGGAGATCAAAATTGGTATATTAACACATGCTGCTTCATCTACACCGCATTGTGGCACCTTTTTTGTTGTAGTGATTCATATAACTTATTTTCAACTGGGCTTGTTGCCACTGCTGTAACTTTCAACCCTATCAAGTACAGAAGAATAGCCTTCAATTTCACTTACTGTAAACATTTAGGTGATATTGAAATGCTGACATTTTTATTCCAAGTATATTGGCCCACACATTGAAAGTACTGCATGTAAAAGTGTGGTCAGTGGAAAATCCAGTGGGATGGTGAGTCAACGACGGCGATTCAATCTGTTCCACATCATTGAGACTGGAGAGACAATCCAGCAGCAATGCCACTGGCGAACTGAAACATGTGCAGGACATGTGTGCTTCTCAGAGAGAAGCGAGGGGCGAACTGACAACTGGAGTTCTTTTAAAGCCAACGCTGGGCTCCAGAGTGGTCTCAGTGTCTATTCCAAATACCATCGCTTGGTCCATTTAACCATTAGTGTCTCCTATCTGATTTACCGGTCACCCTTTCTGATTGGCTAATGCCTTTGCGACTTGGCTTCTTTGAATATTTAAAGCATTGTTGTCAGATACCTGCCAAACGAGCCTGACAAGATTGATAGAGAGCACTGTAGAAAACGATTGGACGGTAAAGCGACGTGGCACCTCCTTTTATTTCCCTCGGCTTTGTCGATTCAAAACAGATCAACTATGTGAGAGATATCAAGACGCTTTAAGACAAACGGAAGTGTTTCATGTATTTTGGTTTCATATTATTAGGTGTAGCTTGATGTTGTGTTGGGTACGAGGATGTGGTGGACTTGAATGAAACTCAGTGCATGTGACCGGAGAATGGAGTGTCGCACGTTGCCGTCATCCAAGTTTCACTTCTCACTTCTAGAACATTTGATATCAGGTCGACTTTTTGGACCTTATTCCCTTTTCATATCTTGTGTGCCCTATATGTTAAATTAAATGACTTCACAATTTGACAGTGAACATGGAGATATTACTGTAAATCAAAAAGTGTGTGGGTGTGTGCGCATCATGTGACTGTGTCATGTCCATCCCATGGACAAGACAAGGAGGAGTGGACACAGGATTTAGCAAAGTCAGCTCTTAGCACTAACACAGGCATGTCACGTGTTATGGATTATGGGAATAGTATATTCTTGATTAATGTTTTATAGCATGGTGAATAACAGCACTGTACAGTGATACAGAATCAAAGTGCACGTAGCAGCACTAAAATCAAAGTTGAATCAAAGTTGGCCATAGCCTTTGTATTGACAAAAAACATGACTTTAATATATATATATATTTTGATTAATCCCACTTGATCTATTGTCCATTTCATCCCCAGTGCATTGTGGTGGTATTTTTTAAGTGGCCAGTGACCGTCTATAAATCTTTCTTCCCCATTGCCGTTTAGTGGGCACAATACAATACATCCTCATCCCAGGACACGGGCAGCGAGTGGGGCGTTCCATCACAGAAAGCGGGGGGTGTATTGACCCTTCACTCTCGATCCCTCAGCCCCAATATAGCTGTCCCCTCTTAATGTTTAATGTGTCAATCGATTCCACCCCCCCCCCACCTGCCGTTACTGAAATGATATAAAGAGCTCCCACTGACCCGGCTAATATCCATCAAGTGGAGAAGTGACAGAGGGAGGGGAGGAGATATAGGGGTGGACCAGGCTTATCTTGACTGAAGGAGATAGATAATACGTGCTGCACTGAGTTCCCATCAAGCCCTAGTAGAAAGCCTGGTCGAACTCCTCCCCGTAAATATCAGAGCACATGCCACATCCATAGATCCTCTCACTCTATCACTCCCTTCAATCTCTCTATTTCTTCCTCTTCCTCTCTCTCTCTCTCTCTCTTCCCCCCTCTCTCTCTCTCTATCTCTATCTCTTTCTCTCTCTCTCTCTCTCTCTCTCTCTCTCTCTCTCTCTCTCTCTCTCTCTCTCTCTCTCTCTCTCTCTCTCTCTCTCTCTTTTTAGCGATTGGGATCTCAACATGATGCTCCGAGGCACAGGCAAGCATGCTGCGTGACCCCCCCCCCTTTCCTGATTTATCTACACTTTATCTTTATCTATCCATCTACCCCTCCCCATGCCTCCCTTCCGCCCCCTCTCTGGGGAATCTTTAGGATCAATACAGCTCTACTAGGCTCACACCACACACACGGCCTGTCCTGTGTCAGCAAGTCACTATGGCTATAACAAGACCGCAGCCTCAACCATCAGTGATCCCCTCTTAAAGTCACATGTGGTGGTTGTAAACACTGAGCAAACCAGGGCGATGTTTAGTAAGACACACCGGAGGAAAACGTTTTCTCCCTACTGAACAGGACCCAGCTATGACTGACTCAGTCTAGGGATATCCCTAGCTGCCTGTCTTGCCCAAAACAATAACGGCACCAAGGGTAATTAACTCTGACGCTATTTAGTGATACCATGCTTGGTTTGTTGATGTGATCTCCTGGTTTCTCGTGCGTCGGTGTATTATTGCTTAATGTGGAACTGGCCTATTATTTTTAGGCCTCACCTCTCAGGCCTGCCTGCATCTGTTGCCCCTGGTTTTCCCCTGCTCTCGCCTTAGAAAGAGAAAACATTCAAGCTGTGGAGAACGTTAAAGCACAGACGTTCCTCAAACCCCCCTTTCCTCTCCCTGTACATGCACACGCACGCACTTCCCCCCTCACACATTACGTACAACATTTACATCACCCACGGAAGTACGTTTTTGTGTGAGTATTATGTGAGTTAGAAAAGTTAGAAAAGTTAATAAGTATTATAACAGTGTGTGCATTATAAGAGGGAAAAACAACTGTTTAGAAGACAACATATCTGAATGTATAACTGAAAGATTACCAAATGCAGAAACCAAATGGTGCGAGATAAAGCATTTCAATAGTTCTCCTTCTCTTTTTGTAGTGTTAGTAGTAGAATAACGGCCCTCCAATTCATGAATGGAGATTCCCTCCCCTTAACCCAATGTGCTGCCTCAGCCAGTCTCTCACAACTAGCCCATTCATAAAACTGTGGGGCTGAAGTGTGTGTGTGCACGTGTGCATAGTGTGTGTGTTTGTGTCTGTAGGTGGGCAGGATGCATGTGTTTCTGGAGAGAAATGACCCATTCAGTCATATACTCACATGGACGCACAAACGTGCGCACACACACACACATTGAAGAGGAATCGTCCTCCCTGGGGGCGAATGGTATCCCTGCATATCTGGCAGTCACCTGGATGTTTTTGCAAACTTGTTGCATAGCAGCTGTATTTTGGAAAGTTGAGAACATATTTATTTTTGTTCAAATGGAGAGAGAGCAAAGAGAGGTAGGAGCTCGCCAATTCACTCTCCCTCTGCTCCAAATGGGGACTGATTGGGCCAGCTCTGAGCGAACCAGTGATCAGGGGAACACAACAACACAAACAAGAGAGAAGGTCATAAATTCATGACGAGGCAGAATGCTTCCTACCGAAGAGACGAACTGCCGTGAGCGTTCGCACTCAAATGCACTCTCTCTATCTCTCTTTCAGTCTCTCTCGTTCTCTCTCTCTCCGTCTCCCCTTTTCTCTCTAAAGGACTGGAACGGCATCTACAGCCACAACTTCCTATATAATTACTACAAGGTCCAAAACTAAACAATCGGCCCACACAGCTCTGAAATAGTTGGATTAGCTCACATCTTGGAACGCTCAACGTAGAGAAAGCGAGAGGGTAGAAGGGTGAAAAGGAGAGAGAGAGAGGCTAGGGGTGTCCAGATTTAAAATTCTGCTTAGTTTGTACAGAAACAGGAAGAGGGAGGGGTCAGATATTCCACTCAAAGAGAGGGGGGGTCACGAAACGGGGTAACAGTACTGTAGCACTTTTTTATGAATGAAGACTAGGGGAGAGGGGGAGACACGCTTCCTCTTACATGCAGGAGAAAATGTATGAATGGGACACGTCTCTTGGGCTGCTCTCCGTCTAACAGAACATAAAGAACTCCTACTTTCCACACAATTTGTATTTCAGTAACAACACATTTATCAATGGCGTATTTAGTCTCTGACAATTCTAAAAACCTTAAAAAGTTGAAACTAGGTAAACTTTCAGTGCGTGGAAGATTTGATTGACATTTGACTGAGTTCCCTCCCGGCAGGCAGATAGATTGAAAACAAAAGGGACTGTCAGTATCCAACAGCCTCATTACAGATCAGATTGACAGATACCCCCTTCAAAAGTTCTGTCAAACCCCCAAAAGTCAACAACATTCTCCCTCCCTTTTAGCTATCACAAGCTGAATGTCATCCCTTTCGTTTACCATTGACCTCATTTCATAACGGTGTTCAGTGAATCATACGTTAAGGAACTAACATGTGTTGTATTAAAGCTTGAAACTCCTTAAAATACACAGTATAGGTCAGAGGTAAAGAGGCAAAGGTCGTGTTTACATAACCTTCCCTCAGTGGAACTCTGGAGACAGAGCATGCTCGTTAGCTGTTATTGAGAGAAAAGGGAACGAGATTACATAGATTTAGCAGATGTCCAGGTATTGCACAATCACTTCTTGTCCCCCTCCTCCCATCTCCTTAATCTAGCATTCCGGAGTGTCCCAAAGTCTGGCGCTCTGTTTTCACTCTCTTCATCCCTCTCTCTCTCATTCTCTCTATCTCTCTTTCCCTCTCTCTCTCTCTTTCCCTCTCTCTCTCTCTCTCTCTTTCCCTCTCTCTATCTCTCTTTCCCTCTCTCTCTCTCTTTCCCTCTCTCTCTCTCTTTCCCTCTCTCTCTCTCTTCCCCCCTCTCTCTCTTTCCCTCTCTCTCTCTCTCTTTCCCTCTCTCTCTCTCTTTCCCTCTATCTCTCTCTATTTCCCACACCCATACAGGTAACAACCTGACTCAGAAAACAACAATGTTTGATTTGCTGTGGCGCCTTTTCAATACGGCCTCAATTATTTTTTGGCACAAGGGATTGTTTACCGGCTTTACGCCCTGTACTCTGAGTTTCCATAACACGTCACCTGTTTAGAACTATGAAGAGTGATGAGTTTGATGGAATAATGCATAACCGGGTATGGGAACAGATAAGGCCTTCATCTTACCCGCTGGGTGCTTCAATAGACTCACTTTATGTCTATGGCAGCCTGTCAACTTGGAGCTTCCCATCAAATCATGTTGAATAGAGAGTCTTCTGGCCATTGAGTGTGAACAGCAGGTGCTAGCAGGAGCGCTGTCTGTCAACCTGAGCCCGTCTCTGCTCAGACTACTGTGTATAAGTGAGCTGCCTGTCAAAGTGAGGCCCCACTGACCCTACGGAGCATATCAGGGTCTACCATGGGCAGCAGGCTGACCGCCGATTGGTTGGGCTGGCCCGGGGTTAAGTAGACATGACCCTTGCATGCCCTAGGGTTCATCGCCACATCCTCCTCACCATTGTTGGCCCACAGACAGGAACAATATGTTTCACTGGGCATGTGTTACTGGGGCTAAGGAGTTGTGACTTGGACGAGGATAAATGACACAGTGTTTACCCACAATAGCGGTGGGGTTTTGAATGGTGCCAGGGGGAACTCCATTGCTAAGTTTAAAGTTCACACTATAAAACTTCTGATTTATTTTCATGGTTAAATTATGTTCAAAACATGTTCAAGTTAAGACTTAACCAATCAAAATTGCTATGTTAAATTTGCATTAAATTTACTGTTAAATATATTATTGTCCCATTCGTCATATTGTATGAACTCACCCATAAGTCTATGAATGAGTTAGAATGAAAAAGGCACGGAGGACGCTGTTTGCAAAGTGCACACCCTACAGACCGTGAATCACCATTGTTTAGACATACAACAAAAAGGGAAACCCATTCAAATAGCAGCCGTGCAGTTGTGTAGTATAGGAATTTGCTTTCCCCTCTTACACCTCAGACATACACAAAAGGGAGTCTTTGTACCTGGACTTTGAATGATATTTTACTGGTTTCCTGGGCTGATCCATTCAGCTTTTCAAAACCATGCAAATTGATAGAGAAGGACAATAGTAGAATCCACATTCACCCATGATGAGTAGGTAATGTATTAAGTTTGTGTCTCGGAAATGCTTTTTCCCAGGCAAAGATTAATGTAACTTCGACAAGTACAGTAGCTCCACCCAAGCATTGAGCAGTTTCACAACCCAGCGCTGACCCCGTATCTGAGTTTCTCTCTCTCTATCACACACACACACACGCACACAAAACAAACACGCATACACAGAATTCTTAGAGGTTACACGCATCCAGTCTTAACTTACAGTTTTCGGTGTGGAAATCAGGAACAAACTGCTCGTCACTGTCAGGCACTTGAGCTGAAATCAGAAAAGAAAGAGAAACCGTTAGTCATGTCATGGTTTGAGCAGAATGCTAAGCCTGTCAGTTAACCTACCTTAGCTAGCCTTGGTGGTCTGAAATTTACCTAGACAGTGAGCACTACGCTAGCCTGCTAGCTTAGCCTGTCTAATGCTAGCTACTTTTTCCTATTAACTGAGTGAGTCTTGGTGTTTCATGCTGTCCGGCAGCCTTGCCAGTGTGGAAGCTCGGCTCACCCTGTCCATGGGCTTTGGCGGTCATGGTGCTGGGCCTTGCCAGACTCTCTCCTTGGCCATGAAACCTGAGTCACTACCTGGGTCCAGCCAAGCGACCTTGACCTCCACACTTGCCAGCGTGCCAGCACTTTATCAATACCACATAGTCAAGGGGGGAAGGAAGCTTAGCTCCTTGTTTCATGTGGCATTCAACATCTTGACGGCACAAACACTGATTTATTAGTTAACCCTTTGAGCTGCAGCTTGGGAGGGTTTAACCTCAAGACATGCCTTGACCGCAGTCAAACATCGTAACTGTGATTATTGACTGTGTTTTATTCTGGTCCAATCAAAAACTGTGGAAAATGAAGATAGTTCACTCAGATCGTTTACCTTTGGGAAGAATGGTCAGTTCCGGTCTGCTTAAGCATGAGGCTCTCCCATAGACACCAGTGCGACAGCAGCTGGGTCTGGTCTACTTAGTTCATTGACTAATGTAACCAGAAAAAATGTGGGAGTGGGGTGTTTCACTTCCTCTTCCGTCTCTGGACTGATCTCAACTAGGGTCAGGAGCTTTTCCTGACCACATGAGCTGACCAGGAACAACTCAGGGTCCCTTCTGATAACTTCAGACTGGCTTGTGAAGCTGTCTTTCGGTATGAATGGACGATGCTCTGACTTGAGGCCTAACGATGGCAGCACAGGGTGATTTATGACCTTAAGAGGTGCACTTACAGTGGAGACAGGGTTACTGTCACTCACGTAGGCTAGCTATCGAACCATACTGGTGATAGATGGATCAATACAGAGGTGGAGCTGCCTTCTCTTTCTCCACCCATGGATCCCATGTCAAGATATTATGTTGGAATCGTATTCTCTGTCCAAACCCTGGCCAAAGAACCACAAAGATATCTTTAGCCCTCATTGACCTGATTGTGATCGTGTCAGGAAGACGTCAGTAACATGTAAATTGTGTGCATTTTGTGTACTTGTTTGTGTGTGCTTTTCATCACAGATCACAGACAGACTAAACAGGCTATTTTAAACAAGGGAGGAAATCAGACGTCTTCTTTCTGTCCTACACCCAGTTAGTGGAGCTGAAGGACATTCTTTGACAATATAGATGCTCTGCGGCTAGCGAAGTGTTCTGGAATTCGTCACCTGCTTTGAAGCGGGTTCAAAGGTCAAGCTAGAGGTTGTAGGAGGACGAGGAACTGAGAGAGAATTAGGGGGAGCTGAGAACAAGTTTAGGTTAGCACTATTTAGGGTTAGATCTTTATCACAATGCCACTATCTACTATGAATGAGTGATGTTTTGTTGAATAATTCAAACACAAAAACACCAGAAGTTATCCAAATGAATCCAAAAACTGGACCTGGTGGAAAATATATGAATCCATTCATGCTATATCTTAAGTTGGAGTCAGTTTAATTGACAATCTTTTTATTGAACATTATAGTGAAATGAACCGGATCCTACCATCTAGGCCCTAAAATACTGAATTGTCTTTATGCAAACCCAGTCCATTGGGAACAGGTGCAATGGGGCTTGGTAGTATTGTACTATCCTGTTTGCTGAGATGTTCAGATCCAAATACATTTCCGATATCAATTGTCTTCCCAAGCACTGGACATTGAACCACACACAAACAGGTTAGGAAAACCAGATTAGTTGACTGCCAATGCCCAAAAGGGTGAAAAGGTCAAATTTACCCAGTGAGCCATGCATGAGCACACTGGCATCTGATTCGCTACATGCGGCTGAATGGCCTAACCCTTAACTTCGCCTGCAGCCAGGGCTAGAAACCTTTACAACTAGGATCAGTCCAATTTGAAAGGTTCCTGCTTTTTCCATTGCTTTGGTCTTGCACTTACGTAATGGTACACTTAGGAAAAGTTGATGGTTATCGTTAAATATCGAGACAACAATCTGTCCGTAATGGCCAGCGAAAACAAAATGCCACCACATGGGAAGCACATATCCCCTCTCCACTCTGAAATTGTTTTAAATAACCAGAATATGGAACATGAGATTGTATAGTATCATAGGAAACCAAATCTGAAGTTTCATTTACAATGGACATTAAAAAGTCTCTCAAATTGAAACTATGGCATAAGCAAAATTACTTCCACTTTGCTTTTTCCCCCTCAAACACAGAGCATGGGTAAGTCCATAGAACCCAGAAAGAGAGAGTGAGTAAGTGCCAGCGCCTGTGACATCACCCAGTCAAGTAAAGACCCAAACCTATCCGAAAGGTTCATCCACCAGCTACCAGACCATAAAACCTAGCTTGGAAACCAAAACAGAGCGAAAAGAGAAAATAAGAACTTCAAAATTCACTTTCACGTATTTCTGCCCCGCTTCCTGTGAGGAGGAAACCGGATGAAGGCGTCTTGGAGCATGTTCAGATAAATGACATTGATTTCTTATATAATACTGTGCCTTGTTGCTATACAGTAATACTATTACCCCCTTTTAACTTTGCAGTCTTTTGCCCTAAGGAGAGGGATAAAGCTGTTTTATGAGAAAGAACAGAGGCCAATATTTAGTCCACCAGACCAAACAATAAATCATTTCCACTAGTTTCAACATGTCTAAAATGGAACACGTTGGATCGAGCTCAGAAAGGGAAGAGAGAAAAAACACATTAAGGATGTCTGAGCGTCAGTGCGACTGGCTCGCAGACAAGAGCACAACCCCTGTGCTTAGGCAGACAGAGGGAGAGTGTTTGTGTGTGTATCCGATTTGCTTCCAGGAACACTTTGTCAAAAGTCTTTGAGATGCATGTCAGCACAAGACAGAAAGTGTGTTTATATGAGCACAGATGCATGTTTCCCTTTTTTCTTCCAGACACCTTGAAGGACTTTTTTTCTCAATGGGAGATCCTGAGAGGAGCGTAGAACTCTCAGTCATAAAGGTAAAGGCCAACGACAAGACGAGACAAGCTCCTGAACTCTCTCTCTCAACTTTCCTGTCTCCCCTCTCTTTCTCCCGCTCTCTCTAGTAGAAAACTCCCTCCAGCTACCAAGTTTTTACAACACGGGTGAATCCCTTGCAACCACAATCAGTCACAATGACAGGCCTGTAATTAATGTAAAAAGAAAGAGGAGTTCTGCCAGAAGAGCTCAAAAACAAGATACTATTTAGGGTTAAAAAACACATTGATAGTTACACCACCAACTTCCACCCAGGCAGCTCTGGCTTTTTAATTCTCTCTATGGCCCAGTGACCCTGCTCTTCTAGCCAATCTGTTAAGGAAGTACAACAGCACCCCATATCTACTGCTCTGCTATGCATGTTACCTTAATGGCTGACTGAATGCAAATAAAATGTCCATCAAAGGGATCCGACTTTGGAGTGGTGCTCATTGTTGTCTCTTTTATTGGTGTTGTCTTTGTCTGTGGAGCGTGGTGGTGTGAACTTGCCAGTTAGACGCTGCATGAGAATAGACACGAGGCCGAGATACAGTGAGAGGATTGTTTGTCGGGCTTCATAAACAATCGTTTTTCTTACCCATTTTACCTTTTTCACACTACCGTGCCGACCTGAACTGTACTGTGTTGCCTCAGGTATTTTCTTTTCACGTTGACCTTTCCGGCACAGTTCCAGCATATGTTTGACCCAGGTCTGCTATAAATCACAGGGTATCAATTTGGCTGGTTCAAGATGGCAACCATTTTGTAGCCGGCTGCATTTCTGGTTTAGAGATTGTTAAACCGTTACATATTGCCCTGCCACTTCTAGGCCCCAGATTTACTAAACATTACCAAACAGGCGTGAGTCATTCCTCAGTTTTGTTGTCCCGTCTTAACATATAATTGCTCCTTCAGAGCGTACGTCATGTTGTACTTTTAAACTCCACACTGCTGACAATTGCTGCTGCCTGCCTGGGTCCATTTTATCGCTATGTGTGTT